TTTTTAATTACTAATCAATCTCTTTGTTATACATCTATTCATGTTTTCTATTTCTTCTTTAGTCAGTTTTCTGTCTCCATGGCATATCAGAGACCTTCATGGCAGCCCCTCCCATCACAGCCTGGAGGCCTAGGAGGAAAAAATGGTTTTGTGGGTAGGGCCCAGGGATCCCCGCTGTGTGCAGCCTAGGGACTTGTTGCCCTTCGTCCTAGCTGCTCCAGCCATGGCTGAAAGGGGCCAACATAGAGTGCGATGGCTTCGGAGAGTGCAAGCTGCAAGCCTTGGCAGCTTCCATGTGGTGTTGAGCCTGTGGGCACACAGAAGTCAAAAATTGAGGTTTGGGAACCTCCACCCGGATTTTAGAGGATGTATGAAATGCCTGGGTGTCCACGCAAAAGTTTGCTGCAGTGGCAGAGCCCTCATGGAGAATCCCTGCTAGAGCAGAGTGGAAGGGAAATGTGGGGTCAGAGTCCCCACACAGAGTCCCCACTGGGGTACTGCCTAGTGGAGCTGTGAGAAGAGGGCCATTGTCCTCCAGACTCCAGAATGTTAGATCCACTGAAAGCTTGAACTGTGCACCTGGAAAAGCCACAGACAATCAACGCTAGCCCATGAAAGCAGCCAGGAGGGGTGCTGTACCCTGCAAAGCCACAGGGGCAGAGCTGCCCATGGCCATGGGAGCCAACCTCTTACATCAGTGTGCCCTGGATGTGAGACATTAAGTCAAAGGAGATCATTCCAGAGCTTTAAGATTTGACTGCCCCACTGGATTTCAGACATACATGGAGCCTGTAGCTTCTTTGTTTTGGCCAATTTCTCCCACTTGGAATAGGTGTATTTACCTGGTGTTTGTATCCCCATCATATCTAGGAAGTAACTAACTTGCTTTTGATTTTACAGGCTCATAGGCAGAAGGGTTTTGCCTTGTTGCAGATGAGACTTCAGATTTGAACTTTTGGGTTTATGCTGGAATGAGCTAAGACTTCGGGGGACTGTTGGAAAGGCATGATCATGTTTTGAAATGTGAGAACATGAGATTTGGGAAGGGCCAGGGGCAAAATGATATGATTTGGCTGTGTCACCACCCAAATTTCATCTTGAATTGTAGGTGCCCATAATCCCCACATATTGTGGGAGGAACCTGGTAGGAGGTAACTGAATCACAAGGGCAGCTACCTCCATGCCATTCTTATGACAGTGAGTTCTCATGAGATTTGATGGTTTTATAAGGGGCTTTTCCACTTTTGCTTGGCACTTCTTCCTGCCACCATGTAAATTTCTTGAAGTCCCTTCAGCCAAGCTGAACTGTGAGTCAATTAAACCTCCTTCCTTTATAAATTACCGAGTCTCAGGTATGTCTTTTTTTTTTTTTTTAACAGAGTCTTGCTCTGTCACCAGGCTGGTGCAGTGGCATGATCTCGACTATGGCAACCTCCAACTCCCTGGTTCAAGTGATTATCCTGCCTCAGCCTCCCAAGTAGCTGGCATTACAGGCGCATGCCACCACGACAGGTTAATTTTTGCATTTTTAGTAGACACGGATTTTCACCATGTTGGCCAGGATGGTCTCGATCTCCTGAGCTCATGATCTGCCCACCTCGGCTTCCCAAAGTGCTAGGATTACAGGTGTGAGCTGCCATGCCTGGCCCTCAGGTATGTCTTTATTAGCAGCATGAGAAGAGACCAATACAGTAGGCTATACCATCTAGGTTTGTGTATGTACACTCCATGATGTTTGCACAAAAACAAAAGCACCTAATGATGCATTTCTTAGAATGTATCCTGATCATTAAGCAAAAGATGACTACTTCCTTCCTTCTGCTGTTTTGCTGTTGTTGTGTTTAAGTTTGCTCTCATTTTTAAAGTTTCTTAAGGTAGAAGCTTAGGTTTAGATTATTTTTCTTCTTTTCTAATATAGATATATTAGAGCTATAAATTTTCCTCTAACCATTGCTTTTGCAGCATACCATAAAATATTATATGTTGTATTTCACTTTTATTCAGTTTAAAGAATTTTCTAATTTCTCTTATGATTTCTTCTTTGGATCTTGGGTTATTTACATTATGTTATTTAATTTCTGAATATTTATGGAATTCTGAAATTATGCTGACTCAATATGCCCTCTGTGTCAGTGGAATTTTCACTCTCCTCAACCTCTTGGTCTATAGAGACCCCACTTGTCCTAGCCTCTGGACTCTCAGAGGCCCCACCCTCAGCTGAGGTGGCCTGCCATATCTGCCCTTAGTAGTGTACCCACCCTCTGAGTACCCTGTTTCCTGCTTTTAGAATACCAGAAGTTGGACAGTTTTCTTCTTTTTATCCTGTCTGTCCTCTTCAAAATTAGCAGTTAGCAGTGTTTCTGGTGATATAGCATTGTCAAAATCCTTGTTGGTTTTCCATAGACTTCAAGAGAATCCACACAATTAGACACAAGGATTCTCTATAGATGCTTCCTGGATAACCCAATTTTTATCCTTGGATTCTGCTG